ATTAGATTACTAAATGTCAATTATAACATGGAACATAAAGCAAATTAAATTGCTAAATGTCAATCTGAATACATAATATGATTTCCTTAGTCAATCAACCTAAACCTAAACCAAGTTAGATTGCTATATGTGAATTTCAATATATGATATTGACACCCTACTCCTTAAGTTTAGCTTAGTAGGAATAAACTAGATTGCTAGATATCAATATAACATATGGTCTAGCCAACTAAACTACACCTTTAAATATCAATCTGCCAGATGTTAAACTTAAATATATAGTGGATTCTTAGACCAATTAAATTATTAAATGTTAATTTTAACATGTGGTGTTGACAATTTACCCTTGAGTTTAGTATAGCAGGAGCAAATAAAACCTTGGATCTGTCCCTCATGATCCTAAACTTGAAATTGTACCATTGAATAATTCATTGTTAAAGCAACAGTTCATTGTTAAGATCAAAAGGAACTATGTACCTATTCCAATTGAGTTGGATATATGTATGATTCAATCTCAACATGTGGAGCCCAATGGACCAATGGGACCAAATTGAAATCTGATTTCTCTAACAAAGTAAAACATGCGGACGGTTATGAATGGGAAGAACATTGGTAGATATCAAACTATGGTGTACCTCTAGCCAACCAATTGATTTTTCTTAATCCTATCATGCTTTTTTTTTTTCCAATATATAAAGCTTCAAAGAAGGTTCATTCATCACTTTTGTAGCTGAGAGATGGAAGATGTTTTGGCTGAAAAATTGTCAAGAGTTTGCAAGTTCGATTTGCCATTCATCCCTTGTACCATTCCCTTTGAATGCCATCCTGATTTTACTAGGATATCCAAAGATACTGATGCATGGGCTCTTAGAATTTTGAGTATCACTGATCCATATGAGAGAAAGAAAGCTCTTCAGGGAAGACTTAGCTTGTATAGCCCAATGACTATTCCAAGAGGGGAGAGCAGCAAAGGGGAACTTTCATCAAAGCATACATGGACTATGTTTGTTTTAGATGACATTGCCGAGACTTTTAGTGAGCAAGAGGGAAAAAAAGCTATTGATATTCTTCTTGAAGTTGCTGAGGGAAGCTATGTCTTAAGTGAAAAAGAGAAGGAGAAGCATCCTAGCCACGCCATGTTTGAGGAAGTGATGTCGAGCTTTCGGAGTCTCATGGATCCCCCACTGTTTGCTCGCTACATGAATTGCCTGAGAAATTATCTGGATTCTGTGGTGGAGGAGGCCTCTTTGCGAATTGCCAAATCCATTCCAAGCCTCGAGAAGTACCGGCTGCTCCGGAGAGAGACAATCTTTATGGAAGCATCCGGAGGCATTATGTGTGAGTTTTGCATGGATCTCAAGTTGCATAAGAGTGTGGTGGAATCCCCAGACTTCGTAGCCTTTGTCAAGGCAGTGATTGATCACGTCGTTCTTGTCAATGATCTCCTTTCCTTCCGACACGAGCTGAAAACCAAGCGCTTCCACAACTATCTCTGTGTCATCTTTTGCCACAGCCCGGATAATGCAAGCTTTCAAGCGACTGTGGACAAGGTATGCGAAATGATCCAGGAGACCGAAGCCGAGATCTTGCTACTCCAACAGAAGCTGATGAAGCTGGGCGAGGAAACTGGGGACAAAGATCTGGTGGAGTATGCAACATGGTACCCTTGTGTGGCATCTGGAAATCTTCGCTGGTCATATGTCACAGGACGCTACCATGGACTTGACAATCCGCTGCTGAATGGTGAACCATTCCAAGGGACCTGGTTTCTACATCCAGAAGCCACCCTCATCTTGCCATTGGGATCCAAATGCGGCAATCATCCATTTATCATGATTTGATTTGATGTGTTTGGGAAATGTATTGTGTTCTATAATAAACTGGAATTGTTTTGAGTTTTAAAATTTAATAAAAGGGTAGAAACAGGGTTTAGTGAACGAAAAATATCGGACGGATCAAGCCAACTTGGTTCTAGTACTTTGATGATGAGTACTGGATGAGAATCTTTGGATGAGTGAAGTAGATATTCAATAGCTTACTTGCTTGCTAGGTCAATCAAAGTTTATCTCGCTATTGGAGAGGTATAGAATCAGCAAAAGTACAACTTTTGAGATTGTTAAATAGAGAGAGAGAGAGAGAGAGAGAGAGAGAGAGAGAGAAGCCGTATCTTCTGGGAGACAAAGGATATCCATGCTACTCTTCAATCATGGCACATTTTCAAATGTTGGCTCACCTCTCAGTCATATGAAGTTCTGCAACAATTTTTTTCTCCTAATTTCAACTTGACATCTAGCTTGACATATGTTTTATATTTCTAAGATCTAAAACTTCTACAAATTGCCAGAAAAAACCCACTGGGTTTTGTCAAATGTGTAGCTTGGAGAGGCAAGGACAAGTTGCAGTTCTCAGGCTAGTTGGCGATGGCGAGCACTGGTTGAATCCCAATCTTCTTAATGACATACTTGAAGCTCTAAAAGTGGTGCAAGACTCTGATGCAAGAGCTCTGGTGACAACAAATGACGGCAACTTCTTCAGCAACGGCCTGGACCTGCAATGGGCCAAGGAAGATCCGCCTAAACGCCTCCCAGATCTGGTGCTTGAGATGGAAAAGGTCGTCTTGGCGTTCATGACGCTCAAAGTTCCAACAATCTCTTGCGTCTGCGGCCATGTTTGTGGCGCAAGGACCTCAATCTCGATGGCTCATGACTACCAGTACATGAGAAACGATCGCGGCTTCTGGATCATGACGCCGCTGAGGAGCAACTCCATGAGCATGGTTCCAGGCTACGTTTCGCCGCCGGGATCTTTCACTCTGGCCAGGCTCAAGCTCACCCCGAGAGCTTATCGCGATGCCTTTCTTCTCAGTCCCAGGCTCACTGCTCGTCAGGCATTCGAGGCCGGGATCATCGACAAGTACTTTCACACCGCACAAGATGCTCGCAAGGCGGCCATGGATCTGGCCGGGGAGCTGGCCGATCGCAACTTCAACAAGGATACATATGCGATTGTTCGCATGACAATCTATGCGGATGCAATCAAGGAGCTGGATCACGAGAAGGCTCGAATGCTCTTGTAGTACTCCACCTAAGTTATAGAAAGAAAATAATGTCTAATCTTTAAACCATATCATACTCTATTTCAAATAGTAACATTCGCATTCCTTCACAATGGTGATTAGGGCTTGGCTCGCTAAATGGAGTCCCTTCTCGCAAGGGCGCTCGAGTCCAAGCTCAAGTACTGGCTGCGCTCCTTCACTCGGGATCAATTCAAGCTCCAGGGCCGATCCGTCCAGCTCCACAATCTAGGTATGCAATTGCTATATCGCTTTCTCTTCGATTGTCAATCAAGAATCAATCAACCTAGAGATCACGCAGATGTCGATGGCGCCGTTCTGCATTCCACTCTGGGATTGCCGCCGTCGCTCTTTGTCGCTCAAGCGAGAGTCGGCAAATTGGAGCTCACTGTAAGCCGGCATTTCCTTCCTGCATTAGATAATGGAAGGGGATTTTTTCCTGTTCTTGCTCCAGATCCCTTACATCTCTAACGTCAAGATCGAACCGATTGTTGTGGACATTGACAAACTGGATCTAGTTCTTGCTGAAAAGTCGGATGCCGAGGCTTGTGATCCTGTTGCCGGGTGCGCTACTCTCTCTCTCTTTTTTCTTTTTTACTGCTAACTTACTCGTTTTTGGTTTTGCGTAGAATCCAAACTAACAGTTCTGCAAAGAGTACCAGTTATGGATTCGCTGATCAGGTAGACGCGAAAATCTTCACCGTTTTAACTGTTTATGTTTATTTTTTACTTCTTTTTCATCTTGGTCGCAGATTGCCGATGGAATGACGATCCAAGTTGGCACAGTGAACCTTATGATAGAAACACGAGGTGGTTCTCGTGGAGGAGCTGCATGGTATGGTTTTTGCTATCTCTTCCAGCTTATGCTTGAAAGTTTTTATTGTTGTTTGCTGTGAAGGACACCACCGCTAGCAGCTATTACAATGAGAGGTCTTAGTTTATACACGACCAATGAGCATTGGGAGGTAAGAGCATTGTTTGTGTTTCAATGAATGCTCATTTACATTTAGTTCTGTTTCGTTTGTCACTGCCGAAGGTTGTTAATCTCAGGGAAGCTAGGAACTTCTCCTCTGACAAGAAAAGTATCTTCGTTTTCAAGGTTTTTATGCTACAAGCTTTACCGATGATGAATAGACTTATTTTGCTGTGTTGTATGTTGCAGAAGCTAGAATGGCGATCCTTCTCCGTGGACCTTCTTCCCCATCCTGACATGTTTGCTGATGAGCGGCTTTCCAGCGGAAGTAAAGATGCCGATGGAGCTAAAAGATTGTTTTTCGGGGGAGAGCGTTTCCTTGACAACATTTCTGGCACGGCGTATGTAAGTTTCTAATCTTTGGTGCTGCTAAATATTTACCAACGTTTTCTTCTTATGAAAGATCACAATGCACCGGACAGAGCAAAACAATCCTCTGGGACTGGAGGTTCAACTCTTAATACCGGAAGCTGTCTGTCCAGCGTTAAGTGAACCAGGTAATTGTTTCAATAGTTTCCTAATCCTTTTTGCTGTAAAATCCGGTATTTTAGGATTGAGAGCGCTGCTAAGGTTTATGACCGGGTTCTATGTCTGCTTGAATCGTGGAGACGTACATCCGACAAATGCTATGGTGAGCTAGGGGGATTTTATTTCTAAAGAGATCACCTGACTAGAATAAAAGATCATTTCTTACAGGTGGATGAGTCACCTTCTTGTACTCTTGTTGGAGTAAGTGTCGAACATATTTTTCTTGGGATCAAAGACGCAGGTAGTTTACTTTTCTTGTATTTTCTGTGTCCTTTGAGCTAATCTTTGTTTAGACTTCAGGCTGGAATTATTAGCCCAATCGCTTCGCTACAAACGGGTAAGTAAATTTTCATAATTCTACACTTTTAACACGTTATGGTGCTGATAATGCAGGCAAGTATCCCTGAGAATGGTTCAGTAAAAACTCTTGGAAATGTCTCCTTGGGAGGTTTGTTCTTAAGGTATGCTTCACGCATTGCAAACGCAGGCGTTTCCGACCCATAAATTTACAGGGATATGTTTTTACAACCTCCCTGCATTCTGGTTCAGCCTAGCATGAGTCCGCAAGCTCCATTTGAAGTACCGACATTTGGTATTTGGTTACTCTTTCGGGTCGTCTGTGATAATGACATTCTGGTTTTGCAGCCAGCGAAATCTTGTGGCCAAAGATTTATCCTCTCGACTTTCACGTTTCGAAGAACAGCAGTACATCTATTGCAAGCCTGTATTCTTCTCAGCTAGCGCCGTCTCCTTTACCGCCAGCAATGGCCTCACAAACCGTAATTCAGTGTCAACCTCTAAAGGTGATTTTGCAAAACGTTTTTTTTCCTCATCAAAACTAACACTACGTGCTTGCTGTAGATATTTCTTCAAGAAAAGTCTTGTTTACAGATTTCTTCCTTTCTGGCGGACGGTATTTTGGTAGAGCCTGGGGTAGTGCGTCCAAACACGTCGCTGAACAGTATGCACTTTTCTCTCAGGGAGTTTGACCTGAGCGTTCCGATGGATCCTGAAAAAAACGACGACCAGCGACGACACGAGGGATTTACTGGGGCTAGATTGCATGTAGAGGGGTTGCTGTTCGTGGAGAGTCCAACATTATCCTATGGCTTGCTGAAACTCGACGAAGATCCAGCGTGCTTTGCTTTTTGGAAAGGCCAACTTCCGGATTCAAGCCAGAAAAGATGGGCCATACGAGCAAATCAAGTGAGCGTGGCTCTTGAAACCGGTAGAAGTGGGGACTTTCGCCTTTGGCAGTGCATAGAGTTGAAGGAGCCTTGCTTGGAGGTTGCAATGGTTACACCCGACGGCCTGCCGCTGCTCAAGGTTCCACCTCCAGGGGGCATCGTGAGACTGGGAATCTCATGGAATCACTTCATCTCCAACAGTTCTGTGGAGCAGCTGCTGTTCGTGCTAGAGATGTATTCTTACTTGGGAAAGGTTGGCCAGGCACTCATGAAAACCGATGGAGGAGTCCAGGATCTTAGCAAGTCCAAATCGTTTGGAGGACTCATTGAAGCGGCTCCATCCGACAGTGCGGTTACTCTCGGCCTCGATTATTTGGAGATCAAGTTTCTGGAGTCGGGTTCTTCCGAGCAGTCCGTAGAAGGCTTTCCACTCGTCAAGTTTATCGGAAGTGGGATACGTTTCAAGGTCACACACAGAACTCTCGGCGGAGCCATCGCAGTTTCTTCAACTTTGTGCTGGCAGAGTGTTCGCGTGGAGTGCGTCGACACGGAATCCGAGCAGTGTGGAGAGTCGCTCTCCACAAAGCTACTGGAGCAGAAGAACATGAGAGCGATCTTGTGGGTGAACGAAAACTTTCCTTCTGCAGAGAAAGCTTCACAGGAGAACAGGCCGTTTCTTGAGGTCAACGTGGTCCATATGATGCCTTACAGGGCCGAGGACGCTGACTGCCATAGCTTGAAAGCCATTGCAAAGATATCCGGAGTGAGACTGGGAGGTGGGATGATTTACACGGAGTCACTGCTACATAGGTTTGGTGTTTTTGGACCTGATGGAGGACCAGGAGAGGATCTCAAGGAGGTGTTGAAAAGAGTCTCCGGCGGTCCTTTGGCTCATCTCTTTCAAGGCTCTCATACAGGTAAAGGAAAAAGGTTTCATACTCTTTCGTTGGTTTTCTTTGTTCATAGCAGCTGTGCCCTTTTTTTTATGACAGGAAAAATCTCTGCTAGCTCGAACGATGATCATTCATGGGAGCTTAAACGACCAGACAACGTAGAGATTGATATCCAGCTTATAGACTGGCTATTCGCTTTGCAAGGCGTGGAAAATATAGCGGACGAAGACGCATATTGGCATTCTACGTTTAAGTGTTTGCGCGCTAAGGCCGATCACAGCACTAGCACCGAGGAGCGACCGCCACAAAGAATAACGGTACGAAGATCTTGCTCGTAAGAATTCGTTAGACAAATAATTGCGTTTCCTGACTCGAACGAGATTTTCTTGCTGGTTTGGTCTCCCAGGTAATGCTCGAGGGGCTTCAAGCGTTAAAGCCAAGAAGGGCTGTTAGTTTCCAGCCGCTGGACAATGGCGGATTATCTTCAGTGGATATAAGTCGGAGAAGTGGTAACGATGGGCTTGCTTTGGAAGTCCGTTTGGTAGCGAGAGAGGGTGGCGATGGAGACGCTGAGATTGGAATCGGCGAGTGGATAGTTGACAGTGTCCGAGCAGCCGTGAGAGAACCGGTAAGAAAATTATATAGATCGAACGTCAACTAATATCTCTCTCTTCTCTCTTGCAGATGGAAATGGACGCAACGAAAGACGAGCTCGAGTTTCTCGTAGAAATTGCTAAAGCCGAGGCCGAAGCAGCGAGTAGAATCACGGTGGGATTGCTGAGACTTTTGCAGCTACAGGGATCTCTCGGCCAAGCCGCCATCGTCCAACTAAGTAGCCTAGGTGAGCAAGAGCTTTTTCTTCCCGAAAATGACCATCGTCTTATTATTCTTCTGGAGAAACAGGAAGTGGAAGTCTCGACAAGCTGAAATACATGAGTCCTGAAAGATCACGGCGAGCCAGCAGCATAAGCAACGTCAGTTGCAACTCTTCCACTCCCTACAGCTCTCTCAGACCTCGAGAAGAAACTCGAGAAGAGAATATCAACACCACTGTCCTGGCCGACCAGCTCGAAGATTTGGTGTGCAAGTCCCAGAACCTTTGCAGGAGAATCGAGATGGACGTCAGGACTACGGCAGCTGAGGACGGCATGGATCCCTCGTCAAGTACTCTAAACAGCGTCGCATCGCTCAAGAAGCAGCTGAATCAAATGCAAGGTTTGATAAGCAGCTTGCGACTATGAGAGTTTTGGTAAGTTTTCGATACGTACGTTTTTGCCGCATAGTAGTGCTGCGCAGTGACGAAGAGCTCAAAAATTGGGAAGCGGCTTCTGACAGGAGAGAAGCTTGTCCTTCCCATAAGGACCACTCTCGGTTTCCAGGATGCGGGTGTGCCACTTGACGGATTTTGCCAGGAACTCGAGCTCGGCTGCCATGTATCGAGATTCACGTATCAGCACCCAGCCTCCGGGACGCAATATGCGGTCCATTTCCAAAATGATGTGAGCAGCATTACATCTGTAAGTCGATATGAAGATACTTCGTACAACGGTTTTCCAATAAGATACCTGTTCTTCTCGAGCATAAAAACTCCCGCAGCGTGTATAAGGTCATAAGTTCGTGGGTAAGTGTCAAAGGCCTCACACCTAAGAAGAACGAATCACTAGTCACAAAGTAGAAGCAAACCTTGCTCGTCACATACCAGTCGTGAGCAACACCAATCAGTCCGCGATCATAAATCACCGGTAATGTATTTACACCACGTTTGGGAACAACGTTCATCACCCACCAATCTACCTTTTGCGAGATTAGAGCCGCAGCAAACCTGCAACAGACGTCATAACATCCATGCAAAAGAATATAGAAACTTACCCTCCATAGCCTGCTCGCATGTCCATTACGTTTCGAATGTCTTCCTTCTTCAGGCCAAGGCCTCGCAGGTATCCTTCAACGATGGCAGTCCAGTACCGCTGCTCGGCCAGGAACACTTCAGGCTTGGCTTGCAATGCATCTGAGTTCACGGCTTTCAAACGTTCCGGTGGAAGGGACAGTCTCGATGGCCATGTGGTGATGTTACGACCGAGTCCATTTCCAGGTAAGGGACTGATGCAAGCCTTCATTGGTACATACCTGTCCAGAGGACGAACACTTGGTATAAATCACAGAAATGGAGTCTCTACGATACCAGACAGAGTCAGGGTCATCGCTTGAATCGCAGAGCGGAGGTAGTGTTCCCGGTGCCCGTTTCAAGTAGCATGAGTTATCCACGGGCTTCTGCCAGATTGCAATGTAGCCTTTCTTGGCAACTAGTTTCCAGCAAAGGTTCTTGGCAAGGTCTGCCATATCTGCCGAATGCAGGAAACTTATAAGCGAAATCCAAATTTTGAGAGGCTTAGAAACATACCGTTCCATGCCTGCAAACTACTTGGCTCGTGTTTGTAAACAGGCTGAGCTGCCCATGCAAAGTAGCCCCCACCGCGCATTATGCGATTAACTTCCGCAAGAAGTATACCATCTGTATAGCACAAACTGCCTTAGAAGTCAAGGAAAGACATGTTCTTATACTCACCGTCACGAGTCCAGTTGATACGACAACGAGAACAATGGATCAGATCAAATGCTTGACTTGGATATAAGAGCCGACGAGTGGCCAAGACGGCCACCATTGCAGGAACCCCACGCTCGAGTGCAAATTGTATCTGATTCTCATGCACGTCTTTCGGAGCAATGGAAAGCGTCAGAACGTTGCGAGAGAGAAGATAAGCGCCCCAGCTTGCAACACCACAACCAATGTCCAACGCAACGCGTGTGCGTTCACCAAAGGCAAGCTCTGGTACCATCTGATGAAAGAAAAAAAATTTCCCCATCAAAACCATGAAAGAAAGTAAGCACGAACCTCAGCCATCTGGTCCAGATATTGGTCAGCTCCATGAGCAAACTGTGTTCCTCCACCAGGAAAAACGAACTTATCCTTTTGACTCTGGATCCAGTTCTGCCCGCCTTTATCAGCAACCAAGCGCGTGTGAGGAACATTGCTATACCACACCTGCAAAGAAAATTAGCTCAAGAACATCACGAAGAACAAAAGCTTTCTCATTTTTTCTCACCTCGTCCCGGCTCTTGGGCCACCGTATAGGCCGCTTGTATCCCAATGGAGGTGGAATGATGCAACACAGTCGTGATTTCCCAGCGGGACAATGCCGCTCCCACTTCTCTCCATGCTCAGTGGATGCAAGCCGGGCGATAGCATCTTTGTTGTCGAGGCAGGGAATATACTCCTTCATCCTGGGAGGACACTCCTCGAATTTGTAAGATTTCCCATTCACATTCTCCTCGGCGCTGAAATTCCTGCTAAGAACCAGATCGCTGTCCACGATCTCGGGAGTTTCCTCTTCCCCTGATTCCCTGGCCAGTACCTCGTTATCGAGCGATCCATCGTGGCGGAGGAAGCCCAAGATCGTGGCCTGCGTGGTGGATTCAGCTGGAGTAGTGTCGCCGCCGCTGCTCCAGCCCTGATCGTTGAAATTTTCGACCTCGAGCTCTCTTCCCGTGTCGGTGAGGAAGGAGGAGCTGCGATCGACGAGAATGCAGGCAATGCAGATGAGAACCAGGCCGCGGCGATCCATTCCAGCGCCTTAGATCGCGCCTTGCACCCGGGATTGTGGTAGATCGGTGCGAGATAGCGGCATTTTCCAAGTGAGAGAGAGCTCAGAACCCTAGATGAAGAACTAGGGTTTTTACTCGCATGGCCGATCGCGCGCTCCAATCTCCGCTGCGGCGAGTGATCGCGTCTTGTCCACTCCAGGTGAATTCGCGCCCGCTCTCCTCCCTCGGCTGAAAATTTCCGAGATTCTGGCACCTCAGATGAAGGAATACGGGCAATGCGTCGCCGGCAAGGCCGCCGCGATTGAGAAGGGGATGTGCGAGAAGGAGTTCCTGGCGCTGAGGGCTTGCATGAAGAATGTGGTGAGTTCTTGCTCGGATCGATCGAAAAACTTTCTTCCTCCTTGCAGCTCAGGGTTAAATAATGGTCTTTGCGAAGCTAGAATGGCTCTTGGTTCTTACGATAGCGGATCGGGCGCCATGTCTCATGCATACATCCAGTATCCACCATTTAGATGTGATATTCCCGGAGCTCTGGGAGTAACTTATGACGACGCAAACAAGCTGCTGCTAGTCTCTACTCTTGGGGAGGTTTGTTCGAAAACAACACTCTTTCCAGTTTTTCCTTCTTATGTGACCATTGTTTTTACCAGATTTATTCCTGGTCTGTAAGCTCTGATACTTCACCTTCGGATCCAGTCGTTGTGAAGATAAGCCAGGGCCCTGTTCTTGGCGTGAGGTTCTCGCTCGACTGTAAGATCCTGGCCATTCTTAGATCCAACACGGAGATCGAGTTTATCAACCGAGAAGACTGTAACTCCTTTAAGCAGTCGTGCAAGAGTTCCAGTGAGAGGATACTCGGTTTCTTTTGGACCGATTGTCCGGACTGTGATGTTGTGATTGTGACAGCAAGGTGAATGCTAGAAGTTGGTCTTTTGAGTTTTCTAAATGCTTTCGTTCATGGGCAGTGGTCTGGAGCTGAATTCCTTGTGTCTTGGGAAGGGGAAGCTGAAGCTGGTTGAGAAGAAGAAGCAGTCTGTCAGCTGGTTTGTTTACACGCACGAAAGTCGCTTGGTACTTTTGGCATCTGGGACGCAGTGCAAAACACTCTCTGGCTACCAGGTTGGGTCGTACTGTTGTGACAGTTTCTAAGTTGCGTGTGCCTGCAGTTCTCCGCAGGGGGGATTGTCCGGCTTCCTAAATTCGATGCAAACTTCACCAAATCTGAGAATCACCGAACTTTTGTTTTGTCCTCGGAGAATGTGTTCATTGCTACAATGTAAGTCGCTGTATCTAAGGCAAGTTGTATGACCGTCTTCACTTGCAGGTACGGAAGGCTGTACTGCTTGCAGACTGATCCTTTGGCTAAGATGCTTCATATCCACAGATTCTACCGTGATGCTGTCATTTCGCAGGTGTAAACTCGTTTTTCCTGCCACTTAGCTGAAGATCTCCAAATGTTTTCAGGGCTCTCTACCAACATATGCGTCAAATGTGTCTGTCAGCGTTGTTGACAACGTACTTCTTGTTCATCAGATTGATTCCAAAGTGGTGCTGCTCTATGACATCCTTGCCAACACAAAAGTTCCTATATCTGCGCCATTGCCTCTTCTTTTGCGGCAGTACAAACCAGCCAACAGTCCGGAAAAGCCAGGAGCAGACGAATCAAGTCTCTATGGAGAAGGTTGGGTCTTTGTTAACCCCGACGTCATTTTGGACCATACTCACGGGCTTTTGTGGAAGATCCAACTTGACTTAGAGGTGCATGCGATTTCTTCTTTGTATCCAGTCATTCTTGTTTGTATGCAGGCTGTTGCAGCTAGCTCATCGGACCTTTCGTCTCTTTTAGCTTTCCTTCAAAGGCGTAAATGCGAGGCTGTGAAGGTTAGCGGTTGCGTCACTTATGTGTGGCATACTAATCTCCTACGTTGCAGGCGAAACAGCTATCGTGCTCTATTTTGCGCTCCATTATTATGGAGAGGAGATCTCTTTCCCAGGTTGCTTCTGCCTTAGATGTCTTAACTTCCGCCTTCGGTCATGTGAAGCGTTCCTCAAGCAAGGGTACCCCAATAGGAAGGATGTCGTCAATGCCGTTGATTCTAACTCCAGGCATGCAACCTGCTGCATTTGCTACTGCCCTGGCTATAAGCAACGCAGCAGAACTTTCTTATGGGAGTCTTCGAGCTGGTTCCGCAAGAGTTCTTATCAACGGCGAACAAGAGATTCGTGAACCTGAGCAAGAAAGTAGCAGCATTAGATTCTCGGAAACGGAAAATCAAGCTGCCAGTCCACATGTTTCGCCTCAGGAAATGCTAGACAACGTGTTCGCTGTAATCGACGAAGGAATGGCAGTTGAAAACAGCTTTTTGGGAGCTGTTATGGTACAGTATTTGCGGAGGTAAGGTATGCATTATTTCCTTATCTCAGGAAAAAATTGAATAGCATCTGTGATTTTCTATTATTGCAGTGCAAGAGCTGAGCAACTAACAATCCCACCAGGACTGTATGTTCTTCTTGTGCGACTGCTTGCAAGAGACAAGTGCTATGCTAGGATTCAGCATATTGTTGCTGATCAGGTAAATCTTAAAAGTGCTGCTAATAGTTTGTTTATGTGCATCTTGTTGGACAGGTAATTGAGCCATCAAAAGCTCTTGCTCTTGAGTTGCTGGACATTGGAGCGCAATGTTCTCAACTCGAAGAAATCGGAACGGACATGTTGAGGCAGGTGCATGCTCACAAAGATTACCTTGAGCGTCTTTTGCACAAAGGTAGGCTCTTGGAAGGTCTACGTTATATACGTCAGAACAAGGTCTGATTTTCGCTCTCTCTTTTCTAGCTCTATCTAAAACTGTTAAGCATGTGCAGGTTGAGTCGCCACCCTGTGTGCGATTTCTCGAAGCGGCTGCTGCAAAGGATAACTTCGTGCTGCTTGCATCAGTGCTAAGATTTTGTTGCGATTTTGTTTCCGCTTTCGAGCACACGGCCGAGTTTGAGAAGTTTTATTCCATTCTCAAGCGGGACTCTAGTAAGTAGGCACCTGTAAATATCAAACTTCGTGAGGCAAGGAATATCAGGTGTCTTGCTATCATTTTTCTTGTGCTTTTTCTATTCGAGGGAATCAGCTTGAATGCTTTGCGGCTCACAGAAGACTACACAGTAAAGAGATTCGGTAAGCTTTTCCTTTACAGCATTACATTATTGAGAAGGCTATTATGATTTTTCTTGGTGCGCTTGCAGCTGAAAGGCAACCTTTGATGCGATTACGCGAGCAACTTCAAGTGGTGAGTACACGCACAATGCATCATCCGAATATTTTCTCTCTTCTGTGACTGATGTTTCCTTCACAGCTCCTCGGCTCGCAGCGCTACATGATGGAGCAAGCGTTTGGATTCTCGTCCGTGAACATGGTGGTGACACTGTCATCCACTGGCGGCATGTATTGCTTCTGGTTGCCGTACTCGTGGTCGTAAGCCGGCTTGTCGCTGACCCTGTAAGTGCTTCCATGATGCATCCGGTGGCTCCGGTCGTAGTAATTGTTTGTGTTGTAGTCACTGGCGGAGCTGAAGAGATTGGTGAGCGAGGTGTCCATGGGACCATAGACGTGCTGGACGTTGCTGTAGTGGTGGTTCCAAACTTCGGCGTGCATGCCGGTCTTGCTCCTCACTTTCTTCATCAACTTTTTGGCGTCGAGAAGGTAGCCCATCACCGTGACCCGCTGCTGCTGGAAATCGATGTCGACTGACTCGACTCCTGGAAACAAGAAAAGCAGAGCTTATAGAAGCGGAGAACGGGAGAATTGCGAACCCAGGGTGTTGGCGAGCGTTTTGCGGACTTTGTTCTCGCACCTCTCGCAGTCCATTGCGACTTTGAGCTCCACAGTCTGCAAGCAAGACGAGGAGAGTGACGAGAAAGCATGGAGCGGAGGGAAACAAGGACCTGCATTTTCTCCCCAGTTTAATGAATGTTCCAGCATAGAACGAGCGCGTTTATACTTGGACAGCATCTCTTTCTTTGCATCTTTTGCATCATCACTGAAAGATAAGAACGAATGTTGAAATTTTTTCACTTTGACTCACATCAAAAACTTTAAGCAAACATCTTAAAGGTAACTTCCGATTATCGCAGTATTTAAGCTAATTAAAATGCTAAGATATCAGAGGGAGGTTTCGATCCTCCGACCTGTGGGTTATGGGCCCACCACGCTTCCGCTGCGCCACTCTGATCTTCAGACAATAAATAATTGATGGAAATTGCATTAAACAATTGATAAAAAAATAACTTGGGTTGTTTGTTAGTAGAAAGTTTTCATTGACTAACATGAAATAAAATGTGATTAATTATTTTAGTAATTGTCTTAGGTAATAATGTTCATAGAAAAAACAAATTTAATTCCTTCTTGGTTTTAAGATTTGTAGGCCCGAGCCTAGGGCGGGCCTTCCAGAAATTCTCGACGGCCTCCCGAGGGAGACACGACGAGGGGGTTTGGAAATAGTTTTCAACCAGCAATTGACGCGTCTCGGTAAAACCTCATAAACTGCGTCATTGCCCCAAGCGCAAAGATACCGCTCCCCTTCTCCGGCCTCCTCTTATATACTCGCGAGCTGACACGATCCCAAGCCCCGGCTCGTGGGATAATGACGTGGCATATTTACACGTGTTCACCACGTATCTCCACGCAAGTTGCTGACGTGGCAGATACACGATGGTTTTTAAGTTTGTTTGAGTTCTACGAAGTAGTCCATTGACGAGCCCCGACAAAGGAGCTCCCTAAGCCACGGCGGTCTAAGAAGCGGCGGCCTAAGACTAGAAAGCAAAGCAAAGTGGCGCCTCGGCCTAGCGCCGGGAGGCTTTTGTAGCTCCTGTGACATGTACTCCACCACCGCTTTAGTGCTGTGCTCGGCCACTTCGAGTGGGGGAACTACTAGAGGATTGTGAAAGAGCTTGAGCTCCTGCAGCTGCGTGAGATTTCCCACCGAGAGTGGCAGCCTCGCGATCTGGTTGTAGCTGAGATCCAAGTACGTGAGGGACGAGGCGTAACCGATGGAGTCTGGGACGCTGGTGCTAAAGTTGCCGCTGGCGTCGAGCGTTTGCAGGCTCTTGAGGTCGCCGATGGTGGGAGGCAGCGACACCAGCTTGTTGAACTGGACCTCGAGGTGGACGAGGGAGGCCATCTTGCCGATGCTTTCCGGGAGAGCTTTGAGCTTGTTGAGCTGGAGGTGGAGGCGCTTCAGTCTCGGGAGGTTGGCTCCAAAGCTCAAGAAGAGATGCTCAAGCTGGTTGAAACTGGCATCCAGTGTCTCGAGGAAGCTGTTCACAAGATTAGTTTTCATTGAAAAAAGCAGTTAGCCTCACCTACAACGGCCAAGGCTCCGAGGCAGTGATTTGAGCATGTTTCCAGAAAGGTTGAGGACGCGCAGTTTGGGAAGGCTGTCAAAGTAATCTGGCAGATCCTACAACGTAAACACTTGAACTTAGAAACAAATCTCGTCGTTCTAGCCGGCTCACCTCTAGATGGCTTTTGGAGAGGTTTACAGCACCAAGCGGGCACAGCATACCGGAAACAACGCTCAGATTCAGCACGACCTGTTCCTCTCCTTTCTTGTTAACTTCGACAACGGCTTCAGAACCCTCTGGCTTCCTCATGATTCGTTCTGAAAAGGATAAGCTAAAAAAACTAACAAAACTTACAGACCTGTGCAGTTCCGCCCCTATTTAAGCAAATCTCTCGAAAAAAAAGGAAGGAGAAAGGTTATCCATGTTATAGTGAAGTTAAAAGGACAAGTCACAAAATTGGTTAACATTTACTTTAAATACCTAAGAGGACGAGGCAAACTGCCGAGACCAGCTTTCCCCATTCTTCCACACTGTAAAACCAGTCAGACAATGAATGAATTGTCTCATGGTTTTTACCTTCTGAAGGTGCTGCTATCCAAGGTCCATTCATGATGTATAGAATGCTGCACGCTGTTGAATATTCAAGCTCCGGAAGAAGTTTAGGAGTAAGAAGGAAACACCTGAAAAAAAACAGTTAAATGCAGACCGAAGGAAAAACTAGCTCCTTACTGGGGTGTGTTGGGCTGACTTGCAGCTCTCACTAATTGCTGAAACATCTTACGTTCGTTGAAGGGATCCATTCCTGATCAAACCTGTTAAAGATTCGCAACCAGAAATCTCAGTCAGGATACCTTGGTTTATCTCATCCACAACACGAAACGGACAGTGGGTAAGGTCTTGGAGTGAGACAAGGTAGAGTATAGTTGACACCGAGCGTTCCTGAAAACGAGACTCAATCCACAAACCAAGGTTACTAATCACGGAAATTATGTACCCCTCCAGATTGGTGGTGTGCACTCAAAACCTGCAGTTCTCCCGTTTCTCTGAACGAAAAAGTCAAACGAAAGCCACAGATAACTTAAATCATACCTGAACTTGACTTTGATATGAATGCCATATTTATCGAAATCGGTCCCTTGCTCGTCTACAGAAAGAAAATGTTTAAAACAAGAAAGAGCGACAATCCCAGTTACCTAATGAAACCTCGCCTGCAACAGCCATCTCCTTGAAATTCCTACTGAAAGTGGAGTTAATTCTAGACACTATTTCCCGTAAGGTTGTTAACCACGTTGACTGTAAGAAAACTTTTAGTACCACGAAATATACCCGAGCTTTTATGGTCACCTGTATCGTATTCATCTCCTCCACACAAGAGTTTAGTGCGTTAGTCTCAACCTCCAGCCTTGCAGTGCCACTCTTAATCTGTCAGAAGTTGATATGAGATGAGTGAAACCATCTAAGAGTGGATAAGACCTGCTCGCAGCGGCGTTCATACTCTTCCAAGACATTGGGGTTCGAAAAAATAACAGCCCGCGCTTGGGCTTTAGCTGTCTCTATTGCGTCTTCCAAGTCCTCAATCGTATCTGGCATCTGAAAAACGTCATTACGTCAAAACACATTTGTAAAGGGTTCAGTAACTTACTTCGGCAAAAGCTGCTTGAAGCTCAGGAGTAAGCGGCGCCTTTTTTTCAGCTATTTCTTTGGCTTTTGCCAGAGAACTTTTCAAGCTCTCGACCTCAACTTTACCTGCGGATCACATACGGTTAGAAAACACTTCTCATGGCCAAGGTCGTCCACAATACATTCGTCCCAGGTTCTTTGCGCTTGAGCACCTCGTGTCTCCTGAGCTCTAATATCCCTCTCCATCTGCCTCACCTCGGCATCGAGCTCCATCGACTCCAGATATTGTATGTTATGGCTGATTTGGACGTTGACAGTATGGATTAGAATGTCCTGTGGATCAGCATTCAGTCGTGTCAGATAAACAAACACAGGTTGGCTTACCTTTAGCTCTATCGCCTTGCTACAACGCTTCAAGTTTAAGTCCTTGATAGTAGATCGATGCCTGTCAACTACAATTTGCAGGTCTTCCTCGTTCTCACTCGAAGCTAGTGTTCTTCGTCGTTGGTCTGCACAAAAGTGTTTCAAGTAGAGAATATGTTGAAGAACAGAGCGCACCTATTTTTAGTTCTAAGTCTTTTCGTCGCCTCACTTCAGCTTGATTTCTTCTCACAATCGCTTCCTGCAAAAATCAGTGATAAGCATTAAACAACCAATATCTAGGCCATACTCTCTGTCTATGTAGCTCCGCTGCTTGATCTTCCAGCTCTCGCTGTTCACTTGCGCGCGCCCTCAAATCGTTGTTGCATAGCGCTAGAGCACTCTCTGCTTCAACTTTTCTGCGCTGCAATTCCTCCGATTCTGTTGTATCCACACCTGCAGCAAGAAGTTTCGTACCGCGAGATAACCAAAGGAACTGAGCTTACTAGGCGAAAACATTCGAGCTGGTCGAACAGGATTCACACTGGCTGAAACGTGCCCTCCATATCTAGATTCTTGCCATCGAAAGTGATTCTCTGGAGTCCAAAGGTCTTTGATTCCTAGCCCATTTACTTCGTTGGCTCGTATATTACTTTCGGCAGAACCTATAAACTGATGAAACGTCGTCAGCAAAATGTATAGAAAAACAGTAAATACATACAGAATAGTTCAAGGCGAACTGTCCAACAAGAACGTCTTTCACGACTTGTGGACCAGCGATAACTTGATCCAGTCTTCCAGAAACCCCAAGGCTTTCCATCTTTTTCCTACGAAGATGTCAGCACAGGCAGCATGGAAAGCCACATTTTACCTGTGGTGTAATTCTCATGCCTGGAACAGGGGGTTCATCGCCAGTGAAGTTAATCACGGGTACGTCATATTGCTTTAGGTTTCTGACGAGAAGATCTCGATCTTGTGCGTCTTGAGTCACAAAGGACTGCCAGAATAGTTGATATAAATATTTGGAGAAAACAGACTCTCACCTTCCATATATAATTGGCTACTTGGCCTTCGACATAAGCTGCCAGATCCTTGTTCGGGATGTTCACCTGGAATCATCTCGCGTGAGTTTGCAATCATGCACGACAAAATTGTCTCACCTCAACAAGAACCGGACCATAGACTTCACGTCTAAACTCCTGTCGGTGCGACTCAACCCAGCGATAAGCTTCATAAATTTGTGGACACCCGTAGCGCTTCAGAAGATCCAAACGCTGGTTTGTAACATTGGCAATCTCCGAAAGCCTGTCAAAAATGGGTTATATAAAAAAAATATACGTTGCTGGGAAACCACCTGTTATTCCATCGTTCAATGTCCCTCCTCCTATGGTTTTGAGAACGTTCCAGCTCTTGCACCAAACGCTTTTTATCCTGGGCTTGGCCTTCCAGATCTGTTATCCTTTGGCAAAGTTCAGCCTGCAAATTCAGGACTATGAGATGCTCAACCAGCACAAATAAAAAAGATCAATACTGTTTCTTCTGTCTGTAGCTTAATATCTGGAAATCTCGCTAGCTCGTCTTCAGCTTCTTGAAGCTGACGCCTATTATTACGAATTCTTTCAACACGGTTAGCTTCATTTCGCTGAGCGTCCTCAATATGACTCTGTTTCGCCTTCACCTTAGCATTCTGCACCCGAAAAGAAAAACTACCATCAGCTGTCTTGGCAACATAGAGAAGTTACCCAATCGGTCTCCTTCTTCCCAATCTCCCTCCGCTTCACCTCGGATTTCGATATTTCTTCACGAAGCTTTCTGAGCGCAGATTCTGCTGTCGATTTCTTCTTTTTTTTATCGCTGGTAAAAGAACATTAGTTGGAAAATTCCATTTCATAATACGTACTCGATTGGACGCTTCAGACCCGCCAACTGCTCCGTCAAAGTTTTTAGAACTTCCCCGGCGGCTTTCAATCTCTTCTTGCCCTCCACATACATATTTTTGTCTTTATCATACATGAGCCACGGAAGTTTTTTGCTCATCGATTCTGCCTGTGATAGTGTGAGCAGTAATTCAGGAAAAGCAGGAAACTTACTTTCTCAAACAATCTATTTCGTTCCTGGACCCGCTCCACGTCTTTCTCAAGCTCGGCGTTGTTACTCTTGTGTTGCCTTAATGCGTTCTCAAGCTGCCTGACAGACTGCACAAGCCGCACAAGTTCATACGGAAAGGAAAAAAAACATCTGAAGCTGACCAATTGGCGCTGCTTGAGCTGCTGATTTAACGTGACAAGCTTCTCGTGTTGGTGAGAAAGCTCTGGATCCCCTACAGCTTTTTCTGTCTCCGCCAGTAGCTCAATTGGAGTCATTTTTGCGAACTCACAGACTCTATCTTGTGGTAAAAACTACAAACGGGAAGTGAGCAATAAGACGCCATAAAACTCCAAACCTGAGTAAGATTGTTGACTTGAATGTTAAACTGCTGCACACTCTCGAGCACAGCTTTCTTCGTTGACGACCTTCCTATAATCATAAATCTCCAAAGGTTGATCCCAAAAACACAAATGCGCAAGAACTCACCATTCAGCTGCCACTCTGACTTGTTCTGCTTGTTGAAACTCCGCTTAATGATCGTCGAAGCATCCGGTGAGTCACCCCGGAGTGTGATCTCAACCCAGCCGCAATCCTCCCCTCTTTTCACATAGTCCCCAATATGCCCAGCACGACCAAGCAGCTACAAACACCACAGGATCATAAGAAAAGAGGGTTCTTCCCCCTTCCATACCTGTGGCTCTCCACCGAGCCCAATAGCGAGAGCGCACACAAGCGAGCTCTTCCCCGTTCCATTCGGCCCAATCACGAGATTCAACCGCGGCCCGGGCTTGCTCGTGATGTCGGAGTAAGTCATGAAGTTGTGGACACGAATTTGGGTGATATTTCCTCGCATATAGTCATCGTGATCCCTGCAGCGCTCTCAAAATCCTGGCCAAGATCAAAGGAGAACACGCTCACCTCTCGGCCGAGATCTTCGCCCGCTTGCGCGGAGGCGGCTCCGTGCCCACTTGCGAGGAAAACATCGCGAAAATCCCACAAACCCTAATTTTAGGGTTTTTGTGCTGGGCGGGAAAGCATCAAGAACTTGCCGCGTGTCATTCCTGGCGGGCATTTTTATTGCGAGGCCTTGGATTTAGAGGATTTTCCTTTGCCCCCTTTCTTGGCATTTAGTTTTTCCTGGAGGCGCGCGGCCGCGGCGGCCTTGGCGTCCTCGCGTTTCTTCTTCTCTTCCTCGCGGATCGCTGCGGCGGCTTCTCTTTCTCTTCGCAGCTCGCTACAAAAGTTTTGAGAAAAAGCACCCATGAGAAAAACCATGGATTCAATCCAGCTTGCGGGACTTACTCGAGCTTGGCTTTCTCGGCCACCACGCTATTCACGGTCGATCCCTTTCGCGGCTTACAATCCATGAGCTCCACCTCAAACACCAAAGTCGCGCTGCAAGCAAAACCATCGAACAAGATCTCAAAGAAAACTCTTAAGCTCTCACTTTGGTGGAATTTCTGGAGGCGATCCTTCCGCGCCATAAGCATAATCGGGCTTGCAAATGATCTCCGCAATCTCGCCAACCTTTAAGCTATTTAGAATCAACCATGTACTTCACTCTAAAGATAAAAATGCTACTTTACCTGCATAGTTTTAATTGCGCATTCCCACGCCCGGATCACGCTGCCTCGCCCCAGCTCAAAGGTAAACACCGCATTGTCTTCTCGGCTGGAATCAAACACCGCTCCAGTATCGGCCAGTGTTCCTTCGTAGTGAACTAGCCAAACAAAACGAGAAGAGACATTTTACTTGAGGTTGTACAAATTAAACGTACCATCCACAACTGCAAGACTATCCGACGGAGCCAATGCGTCCGGCCTTGCGCGCTTGACAATTCTCTTCATCACTCCTCCATCCCCTGTAAGATCCACGACATCCATCGGCCCTAAATCAGTTGCCCTAATTACAGTAAGATGCGGATACCATGTTTACATACTCCACCACATCTTTATTCCCTCCGGATGCTTCAACTCTCCGGAGCAGCTCGTATTTCTCGGGGCTTGGAATGGATTTGGCAAATCGCAAAGAGAATCCAGACAAACAGTGGACTGCAGAAGCTCAACATCACCTCCTCAAACATGGCATAGCTAGGGTTCTTCTGCTTCTCTTGTTCACTAAAGTTATAGCTTCCCTCTGCAACTTCAAGCAGAATATCAGCAGTTTTTTGCCTCTTCTGTCACTGAAGTCCGTCTCAGCAATGTCATCTCGAACAAAAAGAGATGCATGGGCTATTAGAACAGTGATCCATATGAAAGAAAGAAAGCTATTCATGGGAGACTTGGTTTGCTCAGCCCACTAGTTACAATTGGAGGTTGCATCAAAGCATTTCTAGACTAGCGAATCTTTCAGCCAAGACATTTCCATCTTGTCTTATAATGGATAAAACATTAAGTTATCTAAATTCAATTTACATTATTTTCAAAAACAACGAAGATGCAGCAAAGATATCTCAGTCTTATATACATACATACATACATACATACATACATACATACATACATATATATATATATATATATATATATATATATATGTATATGTATATATATATGTATATATATATGTATATGTATGTATATGTATATATATGTATATATATATCTATGTGTTTGTGTGTGTGTGTGTGATGTTCTACAAACATCATGGAGATGTGCCTTCCACACACCTTTTCTGCCTCTTTTGAATAGATTAAAATATTATTAATGAAGTTAGCAATCATCTTTGGCATATTGCAAAGAATTTTGTCCATCATTGGCTAAAAAGTTGCTAGAGCATTGTTCAAACCAAATAATATCACCAAAAATTTGCATATACCAAATGATATTCAAAAAGTAATCTTAGAAATATCCTCTTTAAATATTGGCACTTGTTAGTACCCAAAAATAATATCTAACTCGGTGAATTAACAATCTCTTCCTAAACAATCTAGGAAATTAACAGTGTGAGGAGGAGGGTATATATTCAAGATAATAACTTCATTTAATAGATGATAGTTAATGTTAAAACGAATTCTTCTATTAGGCTTCATCACAAGATAAAGTTCATATGCTCAAAGATTCCACAACTTTTAGATAACACCCTTTTCAACATTTCCTTGATATTTGTATATAAAATTTTAATTTCCTTTAATGACTAATGATGAATAGGAACTTTGATTAAACAAACATCCCCAATTGAAATAAGATAATATATTGCAATTTTGGCCCCAAATGATATGTCAAATTTGAAGAGATTAACATATTCCTTTATAAACCAGTCAACCATTATAACACAAAAGCCGTCAAAAGGATCTAAAGAGGAAATATAAAAAGAAGTAATGGAAAGATAAAAAATGATAAAAGCACAGGTAAAAGAAAAAAAACTAAAAGGAACAGAAATAAAAAGAATTGAAAAAATATAATGAAGTATAAGATAAGGGGGAGAAGCAATAAGAGCAATATTAACTCCTTGAACTTAGATAGTAATAGCATCAACTTCCATTGAAATTGAACCATCTTCTACAAGAAATAGAACTAAAAGATATAATGAGAAATGGAAGAAGCAATATCTCATAATATTGTGCCAAATAAAAAACATTATTAAGGGTGGTAAGAACAAATGCATACACAAGTTTTACAAAATTTTAATGAAGTGTTAACCAGTGAGTGTATGGAATATTAAAATAAAATATAAAACTATGCATATTTAGTGGTTCAAATTGCAAAAGATGTTGAAAAAGACGTTGGAAAGTGAAAAACTCGTTGCAAAGCATGTCTCATAAGAACTATAAGAGGAGATATGCTAAAGATTCAATATTATAAAGACTCCAACTTCACATGAATACCACGCTATTGAGATGGAATTATTTCCCAATATCCCTAGCTTCTTGCAATCCATGGATGATCACCACATTTGGATCCAAATGGCAACATGAGAGTGACTTCTGGATGTAAAAACCAGGTCCCATGGAATGGTTCACCATTCAGCAGTGGATTGTCAAGTCCATGGTAGCGTCCTGTGACATACGACCAGCGAAGGTGTCCAGATGCAAAACAAGGATACCATGTTGCGTACTCCACTAGATCTTTGTTCCCAGTTTCCACGCCCATCTTCATCACCTTCTTTTGGAGTTGCAAAATCTCAGCTTCGTTCTCCTGGATCATTTTGCATACCTTGTCGACAGTCTCTTGAAAACTTGCATTATCCGGGCTGTGGAAAAAGATGACACAGAGATAGTTGTGGAAGCACTTGATTTTCATCTCGTGTCGGAAGGAAAGGAGATCATTGACAAGGGCGGCGTGATCAACCACTGCCTTGACAAAGGCTACGAATTCTGGGGATTCAACCACACCCTTATCCAGCTTGAGATCCATGCAAAACTCACACATAATACCTCCGGACGCTTCAACAAAGACTGTCTCTCTCCGGAGCAGCTGGTATTTCTCAAGGCTTGGAATGGATTTGGCAAATCGCAAAGAGGCCTCCTCCACCACAGAATCCAGAAAGTTTTTCAGACAAGTCATGTAGCGAGCAAACAGTGGGGGATCCATGAGACTGCGGAAGCTCGACATCACCTCCTCAAACATGGCATAGCTCGGATTCTTCTGCTTTTCTTTTTCACTAAAAACATAGCTTCCCTCAGCAACTTCAAGCAAAATATCAGCAGCTTTTTGCCCCTCTTCCTCACCGAAGTCTGTCTCGGCAATGTCATCTAGAACGAAAAAAGTCCAGAAATGCTTTGATGCAACCTCGAGTTTACTGCTCTCTCCCCTAGGTGTAGCTAGTGCGGTGAGCAAACCGAATCTTGCCTGAATAGCTTTCTGTCTCTCATATGGATCAGTGATACCCAACATTCTAATAGCCCATGCATCAGTAACTTCAGATATCCGAGAGAATTCAGGATGACATTCCAAGGGAATGCTGCAAGGAATGGAAGGCAAATCAAACTTGCTAACTCTAGACAATCTTTCAGCCAAGACATCTTCCATCTCTCACTACCCTCACTAGAAAGTACCAAGTGAAAGGTTCTTTATATTATGGAATTCGCACAGTTCACCTTAAACAATGAATCTAATAATAAGGAGGAGTTGTCAGATCCAGTGAATAACAATTGTCAGATTGGAACCATAATAAGTTTTGTCTCCGCCAAGCTGTCTGGCGCCACTTGCCATTGGTTGTTGTGAGATGATAACGAAAATTTACACATATGGGCAAGAATCAAATTGGGAAATTGTTGTTCGTTCCCTCTATCTTAAATCCCTGCTGAGGATAGGGATCACTCTCAATCTTCTGTTTTGTGGCGTGGAGTAAAGGAACTTAATTTTAACTATATAAATACACATTGAGGTGCTGGCTCTGCAAAGAGAGTGCTGAACAAATCTGGTGATCACATTCCAAACGCATATGTCAATCTCCATAAAAACTTAAGATAAGTGTTTGAACTATTGGGCATTGCTTGGTAGTGGGACAGTAAACAAGATTGCCAGCCTTAGCCAAAATAATGTTCAGTTTTAAGTGGGCTAAAGTGTGCTGTTGTGCTTGTTTTTGCAAATTGCTTCACATTTGGCTCAACCACATTGTGTTTTCTACCTAAGACGAGCTATTTTGACAAAGGTGATTAAGTTTCATATCAACACTTCAAGAAGAGAAAGAATCCTAAGCAATATATGTATATTTTTGTTATTTATTCTCTTAATTCTTAGAGTCAGATGTCAAATTTACAATTTATTGAGATTAAACATACAATTGATTATAAAAACTTGTTAAGTTCTATGTGCAAATTTAAAGCTAAACTGATAAAACATAAAGCAGGCATGGTAGAAGAAAATACACTGCATGGCTAGAGCAATTGTTAATAGCCATCTTATACCTTTGATCTAAAAGGATATTAGGCATGAACAATAATGGTAAGGATATCATGAAATATTTTGAACCGGGCTTAATACTTGCTGCATGTGCAGATAGTGAATTTCACAGATGGTGGTGGAACAGCTGAATGGATCCAGATGTTACCCTAGAGATCCAGCAAGAGATCTTGCAGAAGGCAATCTTGTATTGATAATACGTGGATCAAAAAAGCTTTGCCAACCAGGCAATGTCTAGTTATAAAATGTTGGAAAGCCATGTAATTTTAAGATTTTAAACACAAGCTAAACTGGAAACTGGGAAAAAGGAAAGAAGGAAATGAAAAAAGAGAGAGTAAAATTACGTAAACTTCTTTTCACTCTGGAATAGCTTGCTCACTATCCACATCCTTGTCATCCTCGATCTGAGTCTTTGGCGTCTTGGCTTTCGGCCCAGTCTGTTTCTTCTTGATGCCACTCACAATGTCGTCAATCCTGAGAAGCATGCAAGCAGCCTCGATCGCCGTCTTAAACGTCTGAGCCTTGACACCAAACGAGTCCCAAACTCCTGCCTCTTTCATGTCCGTGATCTTCCCGGTGTGGCCCTCGATCCCGAAGTTGGCGTTGTCCTCGTCGGCGTGCTTGGCCTGGAGAGCCGTCATCGTCCGGATCACGTTGACACCGCAGTTCTGTGCCAAAGTCCGTGGGATCACCTCAAAAGCTTGTGCCGCTGCCTTGTAAGGCCACTGCTCCACGCCCTCGATGGACGAGGCCTTCTTCTTGAGCGCGGCCGACACCACCATCTCAGTGGCTCCTCCACCCGGGAGGAGCTTTGCGTCCCGGATGACGTTCCTGGCGACTCCCATCGCGTCGTGGAGGTTCCTCTCCACTTCGTTGAGCACGTCCTTGCTCGCGCCACGGAGAAGGATCGTGCACGCCTTTGGATCCTTGCAGTCGGTGATGAAGGTGAAGAACTCGTCGCCAATCTTCTGGACCTCGAAGAGCCCGGCCCCGGTCCCAACATCGCTCTCCTGGAGTTCTTCCGGCCGGTTGACAATGGTGGCTCCGCAGGCCCGCGCGATCCTGTTGTTGTCCGTCTTTCGGATCCTCCTGATGGCGCTCACTCCCGCCTTGCTGAAGTAGTGAGACGCCAGATCGCTCAGGCCCTTCTCCGTGATCACCACGTCCGGCTTGAACTTGACGATCTGCGAGCACATCGTCTGGATGTACTCCTCCTCCAGCTTGAGCAGCATGCTCCAGTCCTCCTCGTTCATCAGCTCCGCGTTGGTCATGTTCTCGCCTTTCTTGTACTCGATCGGGCAGTCGAGGAGAACGATCCGGGGGCTCACGATGCGTCGTCGCATCTTGCCAGGAGCCACCACGTCCTTGTTAAACATGACGCCCTTGAGAACTTTCGATTCCTCGAGCTGGCCGCCGGGGATCTTCTCCACCTTGATGTACTTCTTCACGTCAATCTCCTTGAGACCATTGCCGAGATCGATCGCCACCATGTTGACCGAGTCGATGGCCAGGTCCGCGATGAGAGTTCCAAACCGGCTCGTGAACTTGGTCCCAATGCAGCTCCGGACGATGTTGAGCAGCATTTCCCGGTCGCTCACGTCGATCGGGAACGCAACCTGTTCGAGCACCGCCAGCGAGTCCTCGAGAGCTTTGGCGAAGGCGCGGCAGATCACGGTGGGGTGGAAGAGCTTCTCCAGGAAAGGCTCCGCGACGTAGAGCATCTCCCCGGCGAGGATGATGACCGAGGTGGTGCCATCGCCCACCTCCTCGTCCTGCGTCCGGCTGAGCTCCAGCATCATCTTGGCGGCCGGGTGAGCCACGTCCAGCTCCCGGAGGATCGCATTTCCATCGTTGGTGAGCACGATCCCCCCCGAGGCGTCCAGCAGCATCTTGAGCATGGATCTTGGGCCCAGAGTCGTCCGGATGATGTCCGCCACGGCCTTGGACGCCTGGATGTTGGCGTGGTAGACCTTGCTCCCCGTCTCGCGCTTGGTCGATTCATTGAGAACCAGCACTGGCGCCGGCATTGCTGCTAGATCTCCAGACAGTACCTTGCAAGAAGATCGCGGCGCAGCTCCTCGCAAAGAACCTAGGGCAAACGCTCTTGGCGCAACCTAGGGCAAACTCTCTTGGCTGCTAGCCCTAAAGAATATTCCGTATGAATATGTTTAAGAATATACTTTACGTCATCAAATAAACTATTACTGATGTAATGAGGGTGTCACAATTATTTCCTTGGAGTTTTCTTGTCCAGGAAAAGCGCCCGCGATCGATCGATCCCTAGTTCGTCAATCGCTGCTAGTGGATCGATCATGGCGGCGCTGCGCCCGCGGGCGCTTGGGGCTTTGATGCCGCTGCTATTTTTCGTGGCGATGGCGGCGGCAGTGCAGCGGGAGCGCTCGTCTGAGGCAAGCTGGGTCGAGAATACCGCGCACAAGCTGGAAGGGATGTTCCCTGCCTCGCGATCTTGGCCGGTAAGCGCGATTTCACCGCATTTCGATCCAGCTTTTCTATGGAAGCTCTCAGACTCGTCCTTGGCTGTCGCAAGGCGTTTTCTCTCAACTGGAGAATGGTACTAGGCTCTGTCGTGGCGTTTCTTGGAGCGATGTTTGCAAACGCGGCCGGCGTCGGCGGTGGCGGCCTCTTCGTTCCCTTGTTTCGGCTCTTGATTGGATTCGATGTGAAGACGTCGGCAGCTCTATCGAAATGTGAGTAGAGTTTTCCTTTTGTTCTTGTCTATCCTTCGTTCGAAGGTGAAAGTCTCTTCCTTTTTACATTTGTTGTTTGGTGCAGCGATGATTATGGGCGGTGCTGTTGCTTCAGCTCTCTACAACTTACCATCCAAGCATCCCGTGCTTGACAAGCCGCTCATAGACTACGACCTTGCGCTTCTCATACAGCCCATGCTTTTACTGGGAATTAGCATCGGAGTTATGTGCAATGTGATGTTCCCGGACTGGATCCTCACAGTTCTGCTCGTCGCTGTTCTTACTGGTAAGCACGACTTCTTTTCTTTCCTCCATGATTTTATTTCATGCTTCGTTCTAGAGCAAGCACAATATGAGCCGCTCCCACTGGTTGTTTTTTGCAGCTATGGCATTTAAAACGTTCAACAAAGGTGCATGTACCTGGAGCACGGAATCTGAGCAAAAGGTTTGCTCCTATTCTTTTGGCGTAGACAAAAATGAACAAAGTCGTGTTTCTGTTGCTAGGCCCACTGTTGTGACACCGGGGAAGAAGGTAGCGCACGACTCATTTGTTTATCACAACTTGCCCATGCCTGTGTAGATTTTGGCTCAAATTCCCGGACGGAGCCATCGTCGTCTTTGGAGCAGGGTCTGCTAGCAAAGTCCGAGCAATGTGCTCCAGTAAGCGTCGCACTGTTAAAAAATGTTGTCCTGATGATGTGGATGTTTTTTTCAAGCAGGAAGGCTTATCATCTTCGATCAAGTGGGCCAACATCTGTCTCCTTTGTACTGTGTGGACGGTCTATCTCATTCTGCAATTGCTGAAGGTACTTGATTTTTCTTTTGTGTATGATTGAGCATGACTGGTCTCATTTTCTAGTCTGGTGCCGCGACATGTGGACGTCTTTATTGGATTCTGAATGTCCTCCAAGTAAGTATCTTTCTCTGTGGCATTTTCTCAACTTTTGCTTTTGAAAACACAGGCCCCAGTTTCAATCGGAGCAACCGCAATTGGAGTGTGGAGGATTTACAGACGAGGAGATTTCGGGAAAGAAAAGCCAGCTGCGGGTCCAACTTGCGAGCAGCTCTTTTTGTATCCTCTTTATGCGGTACTCGCCGGTGTCGTTGGAGGGCTGCTAGGCATTGGAGGGGGGATGATACTGGCGCCATTGTTTCTGGAACTCGGCATAATCCCACAGGTATGACAACTTTCCCAAAGACTCGAGAGTCTGTACCAGAGCTTGGATTCCTTTTCTCTTTTCGCAGGTTACGTCCGCAACCACGACGTTTATCGTTGTCTTCTCCTCATCGATGTCCGTTGTAGAGTTCTATCTTCTGGGAAGACTTCCAGTCAGATTTGGTACGCGACAATCTTTGTTCTCGTCTTCTAACGAAACACCACCTCCTTTCACTGTCAGCTGCATATTTCACCACGCT